ATTATCTTGACTTATCGCATAGTAATAAATATCAAAAATGTATTCCTGTATTTTCTTTTTACATATTTTGTTAAAAGGCCAAATAAGGACTTCAAACCAAAAAAAAGTAATTTTCTGTTTTGTTTTATTTTTGGATCGGGCTTTAAAGGGTTAAGTAAGATAACTAAATAATATGTACTAGAAATAAGACAATACAATTGTTTTTTCTTATTCTAAATGTAAATTGTCTTGTTCCATTGCTGTCTCACTTTTGCAGCGTAGGAGTGATTCAGGAGAAAATGTTATATTAACCATGTTGCTACCTAAATTCTCCATATTTCTAATCTTCTCTCAAGTAAACTTTTACAAGTTTGGCCATTTCTGTAAATGAACACTGTCTGACAAGTGCTGGATAGACGTAGCACTATATAGAATTATCAAAGCGGTAATCATACATGGTGCACTCATAATTATACATGGTGCACTCATAATTATACATGGCGCACTCATATATGCACAGGTGGAATGCCTCATGTTTACGAGGATCTTTAATGAAGTTATCCAAAGTTAAGAACATTTGTTGAATCTGATGTGGTGCACTGGTACAGTAGGAGCCCTCGGATGGAGAAAAATTAGAGGACATTTACCACAAGAATACGTAACTGTTGTTGCACAAGGGCCACTGGGTTGATGGAAAATGAAAAACAGTGAGTGAGAAATACAAAGATACACCTCCAAGTGATTAACCTACACTTGCATACACCCACTCAGCATGAACACACCTATTTCTATAGATATGCTCATCCAACTATTAATATCAGACATATATGACATATATATACTGACAGGATATCAACGGATATATGTTTTGTCTACTTTAATACTGGAGGGAATCCTGATTGAATAAAGGCAATTAGGAAACTCTCTTGGGATATTCTTTTGACAGAGCAAGGTTGCTCTGGCAAATGTACACAACTATCTACCATATTTTATGACAAGACACAAGAAAGTAAAAGAAAATGTGAATCCATGAATCTACACAACCTTTATCAAATTGGAACTCTAAGCTTACTCATCATATTGGAAAATGAAGTTTAAGTTCAAAGAAAAACATAAACAAGTATAGGCAATAACAAATTTCTTCTATTTCTGAAACACATTCTTCCTGGTGGCCGTTTATGGCTAGTTTAACTGAAACTATATACAACTATATA